TCAGGAGGACTTGACCGGCCAAGAAGAACAAGAATGCTCCCACACCATAGCCTGTCGCTTTGTCTGAATCATACACGCAGTAGTTGTACTGTAGTTCTGTGTCTTGCACCACCTTGGCCTGTCGATTTGAGAACATTTTACAACGCCCGGTTATAAACCCGAACACAAGCACAACCGATGAACCCGGATGCGATGCTCCCCGCATAAATTAACTTCAAGACTTCGTTTCTTGACAACATTGTGTATAACTAAGGGCGGTTTTATATTTGATAACTATGGTTTAATACCTAGAGTTCCCTCTATATATAACTAGGTTAACTCAAGGTTAAACCATAGTTGGTTTAGTGAGCAACTCCTTAATACTATCCTTTTACATAGTTTGCCAAGAAATGAAATCTTGAAGCTTATGTGGTGAATTCTATAAAAGGGTCGCATTATATTTTACAATTGTTAGTCCTCTATGTAATTGTATCTATATAAACTAGAGAACTCTACAGGTTAAACAAACCATATATAGGTATAAATTACAACAGGTTTAATATGAATATGTGAGGGGACTGAATCTTGATTTAGGGATTCCCGATCTTCGGAAACGTACCGTGCTTCGTCTCTGTTCAGCGGCGACGGCTAGACCAAACGCGATGACGTGAAACGCAAGAACCAAGGCCGAAACGATCTTGGAAGCCATGGATCCAGAGAGAGGCTTTTCTCCTTTCCTTTCAAGCTCGGCCTCTCTGCAACCTGTGTTTTTTTACAATTGAACAAGAGGTGTTCAGGAAAGTATATATGCAACAACAAGTCAAGGAATCTTGGAATGCAAATAAAACGATGAGTGGAATTTGTGGTTAAGAGATTTGATCGTTTGGCCTAAGATGAAAAGGGACACGTTACCATTTTCTTTGAAACGTGTATTCTACCTGTAAGAGAATCCTCTTTAGCTTTAGCACATAAGGTACTGGCCGATGCTTAGAACAAAAGCTATGAGATATGTTTTCTTCTTGATCAGAATCCTCTTCACAAAAATTCGATGGATTCATCGGAAAATTTACAATTTTATTATATAGTATTATTATTATTACTACTTGTTTAAGCCTATTTCAAGAGAAAAAGTCTCTAAATATATTTCATTTTATAGATTTCTTTAAGTAATATTTATAAATAAGTGTTATCTAGTAGTACTCGGGCGGGTGGCTATAATATCTTTTGTTCCATTGTTTTGGTTTGAATTGTACAAATATTTATTTTCATAAATAAAACTTAATGTAAGAAAAATTTTCTTCGACCCAAACGATAAAATAAAATTGGGGAATCAGATTCCCACTCGATGAGTTGGTGACGTAAATATCTATAACCCACAAAAAAATTAAAAAAGAAATAAAAGTAGAGACGAAGAAATGGTTGCCGTAGGAATGAACGGTCAAGATCAATCTATCAGAACTATATACGACAGATCCTACGCCTGCGGCTTCTATGATCATTTTTTTTCCATTGTGAATATATTATTACATATATTGTGGGGAAACAAGAATAGATTCACATATATATATGTATGTATATATATATATATCATAAGCTATGATCATATCCAACTCCTATAATCTGAAATATTTTTTCACAATAGATAATATATTTCGTTATTTTTTAACAAATGAAAATAACACGTGTTACGATATATTTATCTGGTAACTAATTTTCGATCCACACAAAGTATAAAAAATGAATGAATCGATTTACCAAAACAATATCAGAAATAACATTAATAATATTTTTTTTAAAAAAGAAATAACATTAGTTATTGAAACACGGAGCAAACCAATTCCACATACATCCCCTCCAATGACATATAAACAACACAACAATGTGAGTCTTTTCAACAAATAAAATCAAATACACAATTCTTTTTTTTTTTAAGGAAAATCTTAACCTCTCGTGCAGACAGAACTGAACTCAAACACACAAATCTTTAGTTCACTTCGAAGACACGGACAGATGGTGCCGATGTTTCCGGCAAATCTAACTCCGGCTTTTCCTTCCGAACATCAGAAGTTTCCGGAAGACTTTGGCCGTCGCTTTCGGAGATGTTTCTTCGCTGTTCCATTTCTTGCGTGAATGGTCAGACTGGATCGATTCGCCCGACGGCGGCGTCGAGATGTTGATCTCCGAAACCCTAGGTGACAGGTAGTACTTCTCTTCCATGTTCGTCTCTGAGAATGTCACCGATTTCTTTGGAGATGCCATCTTTGTCGGGAATTTGTTGACTTCTGCAACATCCTCCGATTGATTCTCTCTGGTGATCTGTTTGTCTTCGCAAATGGGCATCGATGTCTTCTCACTTTCATGGGCAACGATCATCTGGGCTTGTGCATGCGGGTTATAATCATCGACTGGTTTCGCATTGGAGTTCATGGGATCTGGAACATGATCATGTGGTCCTGTCTTCTCCCTGGTTTTCTCTGTTGTTGAAGATACGCTATGCAACTCCTTGATGTCTTTGAAATCATCAACAGAAGAAGCAGGAGGTGCCTTACCTTGTTTTGATGGCGAATCCAATGGAAACTTTGCCCCGTAATCTTCTATATTCTCCGTGATCTCGGTACTCGGCTCGCGAGAAAGCCCTGGACTAATGGTTCCTGGTCTGCCTTTCTGACCGGTCTTGTCTGAATTCAACTTCTTGATGTCCTTAGTCTTGGTTGCTGCTGCTGCTATAGGTTTTGAACCTGCACTTGTTCTTCTGATTGGTGGTTTTTGTTGGACTGTCTTCGATTGAGCTGATGGCTCCTTTGGTGGAACGGGCCGAGCAACAGCCAGACGCTCTATTGTGGAGCTTCTCAGTACAGCTCTAGGCTTTGCTTGCGCCGGTTCTGGTCTTGCCTTCTCCTCCTTCGTCGGAGTTTTCTTGGGTGCCAAGGAACTTGGTCCGTTGCCAGAACTTCTCTCGGTTATTCTCTTCTGCCTCTGCTTCAAAAGTTCCTCCATTCTCTTTCTCCTCTCTTCTTCCTGCCAATGGAAGCAAAATGAATTGTGAAGAAACCGTGTAAAAGCACGAAGACAAGCAAGTAGATGAAGTGAATTATATGTATACCCTCTCGGATTTGCTGTTCGGGGCAGCAGCCCGACTTCCCCAAGGAGGCCTCTGGGCTTTAGATGTGGGATTGGATCGATTTGAAGCTCTTGACTTTGCATCCTTGCTTGTTGCCGGTCTCCCTCTTGAGGCCGGGTTCTTCTTGTCTTTAGTACCTTCAGAGGTTTGCTCAGCAGCAGATGCCTTTGTTCCGGCTTCTGCACTGATTTCGCTTGCTAAAATACCGTTCTCATACTCAATTTCAGGGGTCCAAGGTGCTGGCACTGGTTCAGAACCTGGTTCACGTCCAATAACCATGAAAAGGTCATCCGGTTCATGTGTGGCTACGGGTTTGTTATGCGTTGTCTCGGGTGTACGGTTTTCATGTTGAGTAATCCCGACTATTTCCGATACCATGATATCTGTTCTGGACTGAGACTCGGATTGGTTTTCCGCATGAGGTTGTATCATGAATGAATCATCGGTCAGGACATCTTTCCCGCTCTTCATTACATGGAACTGGTCTCCGGAAAATGTCTTGATGAGGGCGGAATCATTCTCCTCCTCGTTTGCTATTGGATCTGATTGGTTATGGAGCAACCAATCTCCTTCTGTTTGAGCTCTGATCATCTTGGATCCACCATTCTGAGACATGTCTGCTCGTGAATAGCTTCCGGAATCACCAGTTCTATGGGAAAACAACATCTCTTCGTCCTCGTTTTCTCTCCTTATCGGGCGGAAATTCTCCTCTGTATCAAAATTCTTGACACGGGTTTGACCGCCATTCTCTGTATCTCCATTAACCACCAGAAAGGAATCATCTGAAGGTGGCTGTCTCTTTCTGACAACCTTGGACTCCATCTCCAATGGAGATGAGAATCGACCTGGTTCTTCCTGGAGAGGTAACGGTTCCAGTCCGAAGTTGTCTGAATCTTTGTCTTTCAAGAGCAGGCTCTGGAAAGCACCCCAGGTATCATCAATCCCTTTGGTTTCTTTTGAACTCACTGCATCATAGGAATCATCGCCTCGATGATGTTCTTCTTCGCTGCTCTCATGGCGTTTCTTCCTTTGACGGCGTGAACTTGATTTATGCCGTCTCTCCAGTGACCCGACAGCTTCCTCCACTTGCTGTTTGATAGAGTCTCCATCGATGAATCCTTCTTCTTCACCGGAATCCTCAGCGGAATCGCTGTCTTTCCCTCCGTTCCTCTTCGAAGTAATGTAGTTTATGTTGCGGATCACCACCTTCTTTGACGATTTCTTCCCATGATTTCCTTCCACCGAATCGCTCGAATCACTCGATTCGGTGGATTCATCATGTTTCGACTTCTTCTTCTTCTTCTTCCTGGAAGATTTCCGGGTTTTATATTCACCCGGCTCCGAGTCTCCCATGTTTACGGGCCATTGCATATACGGAGGCGGTGGCTGCATACCCGGAAACATATATCCATGATAAGGAGGCATGTACTGAGGATTCAGCCATGGCATTGCCATTTGAGCCTTCCCGTCAGCAGGCTGAGACAATGCCGCTGCTCCATCTGCACAATACAGGAATAAGTTTCAGGTGTCGACACTACGAGTAAAAGAGAATATAAAGGGTGTGATCCATCAAGGTACCTTGGCTCGTCTCTAAGCTTCCCTGGCTCGAGCCATCCATTGCGCTTCCTAGCTTCACGGTCTGAGAATTCATCATATCGGTCTCCTCACCGGCAAGTATGATATCGGAGTTCACCATGAATGACGACAGGTCGGGACGGGGCAACGCCTGCATAGCCGCGATCTGATCTACCCATAGTCTATCCTCGTTCTTTCTCTTGCACAAGTCCATGAAATTCAGACATGCTTCCCTGGAAACACAATCCATGAAGGCCGAGGTTTTTTTCTTCTTTGAAATGTTCGATGGAGCTGGGAATGGTTCAGTACCTCAGGCGTGCAGCTCCAAACGCGTCTGAAAATGACAAGAGGTCATCCATGTAGTCGAGTTCAAACCCGACGACAAGAGCTCGGGCGTAAGCCATGGCTTGCTCTTTGCACAGAACCGCCTTTCGATTCTCTAGGACACGTTGAAGACGAACCCTGTTCACCATCATCGTCATCAATGGACTAAATTCATTGTACTTTCAAACCCAGAAGATGTACATTTTACTCACTTGGAGTTCTCTTCCACATCGTCCACTTCATGTTTGCCTTTTGCCTACGCAGAGTCACGGCACATGAGTTCACACTACATGACAATCAATCTACATATATGTACATGCTGAAGGATGTATTACCACAGATAAAGCCGCTGACTTGTGGGAATTCCATGCTGATTCATTTCCTATGTAAACAGATGAGATACAAAAAAGGTTGAAGTTTTTCAGAAACCCTGAAACGTTATCTGTGTAAGATGGGTTGTCGGTTTGAGATGATCATTTTCATAGCAATTGTGGGTCTCTGTCTCCACGAACTTACCTTCAGTGTCTCCGGCAATGGCGGCTCCGTTTGAAAGGATCGAATCCTCGATCTGCTCAATCTCCTTCTCCAGCGTCACAAACCTCTCAAGAACCTCCGGTGTGCTCACGAACCGCACGAATCTGTCACAAAGGTTGAAGCTTTTTGACATTCCGAGAGACAAAAACAGAGGAGAATTTCAAGAAAGACAGCAAGAGTTTGCCTCTGAAGAGTGGCTTTGGTGAACCAAGGAGAGGCAGAGGAGGAGGGCCGGAGAGTAACAGAGTATCCGCCTCTCGAAATCTGATCTCTTGCGCTCTTGAGATGCGACACGAATGGCTGAAACAGGCCCGAAGCGAGTTTCTCGCTCTCACCGCCGGAGAAAATCACCAGATCACATCTTCAGTCAAAGAACAGAACAGAGTTCATGAGAATCTGGAAGGAATGAAAAAAAAAAGGAATGGCGTTGCATGAAAGACAGAGTTCGAGTACCTTGTCCTGGTGGGTGTGAGCTGAAACAGAGCATAGTCGATTCTAGTTCTGGGATCCATCCAGACCCAGCAACAGAAGAGATAAGGATCAGATTTGTCGGACAGAGATAGAAAGATCGGTGGATGTTACAGGCTCGAAGTGGTCAAAGAATGGGGAAATTTCATGGGGATTTGGAGCTATGTCGAAAGATTCCGGTACTGACCAGTCATGCCCATGGAATTTGCAGAGAGCTAGAGAGAGAGAGAGGGAATGTTTGTGACAACTCAGGGGAGGAAGAAGAGAGAGAGAGAGAGAGAGAGAGAGAGAAGAGTTCTGAAGATAGAGAACCCGAAGCACCGCACATGGATGGAAGTTCAGACTCACATGAAGAAGAAGAAGAAGCGGAGAGAGAGAGATTTTTGTGTAGTTTAATAATTAATTAAATAATAATTGAGCACGTGGGTCCGACCGCCATGTACGCCGACACACCCACTTCACCAAGTATATATCTCCTCTATTTCATTAGGTTACTTATATATAACCTGGTAAATAAATTTACATTTTCTTGCGTAATATAAATACTTGTATTTATCGCATGATTATAAATTATAATCAAGTTAATAATAAAAGGGAGGAGAAGGTATGGTGTTTTGTCGGAGGAACGAATCAAAAGCGTTGGTTGAGGTGTCAGTTCTGTTCTGTCAAACCTTGGATACGAAGAGACACAGAGATGAAGATGAAGAAGAGTGTAACACTCACACACTCTCCTTTTTCTTTTTTCTTTTTTCTTTTTTTTCCTTCTCTTTGCTTATTTGCCACTCTCACTCGCTTCCAAGGACAAAATAAATACGTAAATAATTATGTATATATAAAATATATGGAATTTTGTGTGATGTTGACATTTTTTTTATATGTCTATGTGTTATGGGGAAAGAACAATTGTACTGAAACTCACAATTATATGTATATATATAGCAATATCTGTAGTAGTTTTGAATTCTCCCAAATTCGTTTGTTGAAAAAAAAAACGTCATTAAAAAATTGTCAGTGTATGCTTGTAATTCTTTTTATTTTATAATACAACGTAGAAAAAAACTATAGTTTTTATTCATAAATTGTTTTAAAGATTGGTAACACAGAATCGGATTCTCCTAAATTTGTTGATATGATGAATTGCATATGACAATTAACAAAAACCGGATTTCATAATACGGGTAAAAGGTTATAATCATGATAGGTTTGCACCAAATTAAGTAGCTAATTACATCAGATTAAAGATTCCTATTTACATTTTTTTCCCCTTAAAGGAAGCCACGGGATTATAGCCAAAGCTCCTAACCACTTGCAGGTGGAGCCAACTCTCAAGCATAATAGTCTCATGGAAGTTGTGTTGTAATAATTACAAAAAAAAATAATAATTAAAAAAATGTGTAATGATTTAATATTTACTATTATTAATGTGGGTCACGTGGAATGAGCCGTTGTAGCTACTATTTGTCAAATATACTTCTTGTCAAAGGATACGGATGAACCATAACTGTCTTATTAAATTGTTTGATTATATATATATATAAGCTTGAAATACAATATTTAGTAGGAAATGTGAAAATGGTAGCATTGATGGATGATGATGATCTTATCAGTAGTTGGGTCCATGAGCCTCTCTTAATAAAAATTTTCAATTTGATGTTAAATTTCCTCTCTGATGTGAAGTTGCAACAAACCTCCAATGTATATCCATTTATAACCTCCCTAAATGATACAATTAATAATCATTATTTAGTTGAAATCCAATTTTATCTTAACGTCAAACTCAAAAGGTAAAAAATTATGAACCCTGGTATATATATGACTATAAATCGTATGATACACGTGGGTTTACATACTATTATTACATATGTTTGGATTTTTTTAATCAAAATCACAAAATAAACATCTCTCAATAATTTGTTTTACAAAGACAAGCTAATCCAAAAACATAAAAAAAAATGATAAAATAACCTATTGCAAAGGTTCCTTTGCACTTTCTATATAGGTATCTAGCATTTGAAATATTAATTCGAAGAAGCCTAAAAAAAATATATTATAAAGAAAAAACATCTTATGCGATGCATGCATGCCCAAAGATCTTTTAGGAATCATAGTTTTATTTTTCAATATTATTTTCTTGTTACATACACTTCTTCACCCATAGAATACACAACCGGTCCATCTTGGTTTGGTTGCCCATTTATCTTATTATCCACATTATAATGCTATATGTGTGGATCGGGTTTAAGTTTGTAGGAAATTACTCATCCAAAGGTTTGATTTCAAAAGAAATTGTTGACACATCGAAGAAGAAAGGGACCAATGGCGGCGGTGAAGAAGTTGGGAAGAAAATCAAAGGGCGAGAGAGATGGGCCAAAATGGATGAATATGATGAATGGGTTTTGAGCCCAAGAAGAAAATAATTTATTTTTAGGATGAGACGAAACTAGCTGGAATTAGGTGCAAAATTAAGGAATTCGTAGATAATAAATTGTACTGCGGATGACAAATTAAGGAATTCACAATCTCTCGATCATATGTTTGTTGGGGTATTTTGTCGGTTGACAACGACAAAATTTCGATAATTCGAACGATTTCATATAAATACCTACAATAAAAATTATTATCAAGTCCTTGAAACACAATTTTATTAAATTTAAATTCGATTTTCGTGTCATTTCTAAAGTTTAAAGGTTATTGGAATATGGTAAATTCAAATGATACAACGAACGTATATTTGAAATAAACTTTTTCGAATAACAAACGAATTTAGAGAGATATAAATAAAGATATGAATAATGTACTTTCTATAGCGTAAAATGAACGAAGCTGATAATTCTCCGTGTATTTATTTTAATCTCGGACGTGTGTTATTCAAATATTGTATTGAATATTTTTCGCTACGTATGTAAAAAATTTAGGGGTTTGAAAGAGAAATTAGAATTCACCATAAAAATAGATTTTTTTTTTACTTGGGAGATATAATTTAGGGTTTTTGTATGTGGTAGGAGAAAATTTGTTAAACCGGTTTAAAAAACATGACGTGGACAAAAAAAAAATTCATTTGATTGATGTAGACAACTAAAAAAAATTGTTGATGTAACAATGATATCAGATATATCAACGATTGGAAAATTAGATAATCATGTGACATCTATTTTGTTGGAAAATTAGATCAATTTGGTCAACGATTTTATTTGGAAAAGATGTTAAGATTAAGTGTTTTTATAGAAAAATGTTAAGATTAAATGTATTAATTCAAAAGTTTACAGGTTCAGACCTTTTTGCGGAACATTTTAGCAAATATTTAAAAAAACAAATCTCATATTCCCTATTTTTGTTAATGTTCTCAATTGCTATATAGATTTTTAATTTGAACAAAACTTACACATAATTCAAAATATTTCAAAATCTAAAGCCAAATCTCAAAATTGTTGCAATATCCTATATAATCACAAACACAAATAATTTAAATCATTAAAAATCGCTAAGTCACTGAAACTCCTAAATCAAAATCTTTAAACCCAATGCAAATTGAAATTTCGAAATCATATGGTTATATGGAAAATTACAACATATTTTGTGATTTAGTATGAGATTTTGGAAAATATTGAATTCTTTTATAAGTTTTTATCAAATTAAAAATTGATATATGAATCGGGAGAATTAACAAAAAATTATAGAGAATAGGGGATTTTCTCTATTCTTTTTTTTGAAAATTTTAGATTCAAAAGATATGAAAGAGGACATACATTATATACATAACTTATCTCTTCTTTCATACATCATTTAAAAATATATATATGTTTCAATATCTCAATTTTTTATCACTAAAAAATTGAATTAAATTTATGGATATATAACATAGTGGAAGTAGTAAGCATCTTATATATCTTCAATTCCATTTAGATATAGTTTTTTTATAATTTATTACATGTTATATTTTGATGTGGTTTCTGTTTTTGTAATTATATAACAAGTAATATTATTATGTACGCTATTCCCAAATTTAAGGTGTGTGTGAAAATATATATAGAGAGAAAAGTTTGCATATCAAGGTGGAAAAAAAATGAACTTCTGAATCAGGAGAGAAACCTTAAATTTGTGTGTATGTATCTAATTTCAGCCGTTTTAGTATTTTTACCGTGGCTACTAAATGCAATATTAATCGTAATATATATATATATATATAATTATATATATAGAATTTCAAAATTTTAAGAAGGAATTGCATATCTTATTTATCAAATTCCACAATATATAGATGTTAACATCATCCCATGTATGATCATTCCCTAGATCGTATGTTTTGATAATATTGCAATAAAATCATTTACCAGAAAAAAAAATATTGCAATAAAATCTAATATATTCTTTTTTTTTCTTTTTTTAATGTAATATTCTTTATTTTCTTGCATCCCTCCTGTACATATAACTATATACAGAGAGATTCAATGCATTTACGTGTCGGGACTTCCGGCCACCTGAGCTCTTCCAAATCTCTCTAATATCTCCAATGCATGAATCCTAAACTCAACAAAACCCACCATTATTTAAAAAAAAAAAAGGTTGCATTGAGTTTTTCCTCCGAGTTCCAAACGGAAATCCAATTCCTACATTTAAAATCTTTAATTTTCTGGTGAAATTCATCTGTATTTAAGAGCTTTTAGGACCAGAAAGTGCCGATTTCGTCAGTTATAAACACTTGTAATACAAGATTATATTTTTTTAATTAATTATACCTAATAATATACGTACCTATATAGCGTTACGAATATCATAATCCCTGTATTGATATATATAATGGAGAAGGAGATGATGGATGTCGAAGCTCAGATCCGGAAGACGAATGATGGGACCGATTCCGTTTCGATTTTCAAAAATTATAATCTTCCGGTCACTTTGAAGGTATGTTTCTACGTAACACACACACACACATATATATGTATGTGTATGTTTAGATGTATATAGAAACTGCTGTGTTTTTGTTACAGTTAACGTCATATGTTCATGTATTTTATTTATAGATTCTGTTTTCTCGTACGTACACGAGCTTCTGATCTGTTTGCCGCTCTTGTTTGTCTCCATGAGCCAGTTTGACAACGTTGTATACACGACCAAACAGAAGCAGACAAGCGGTTGGTGCAATTTCAAAGCCAAAACACAAGAAGACAAAACCATATTATTGAAGGGGTTAACCGGCATTGTTAAACCGGGCGAGATGCTGGCAATGCTCGGCCCATCCGGCAGTGGCAAAACCACTTTACTCACCGCTCTTGGAGGCCGTCTCGGTGTCGGAGAGCTTACCGGAGAGATTTCTTACAACGACATGCCATTCTCGAAAGTGGTAAAGCGGAACACAGGTTTTGTCACTCAAGATGATGTTCTTTACCCTCACTTGACGGTGACAGAAACGTTAGTTTTCACTGCACTTCTCAGGCTACCTAATTCTATGACAAGACAGGAGAAGATCAAACAAGCTGAGGCGGTCATGACTCAGCTCGGCCTCACCAGGTGTAAGAACAGTATCATTGGAGGGCAGTTCATGAGGGGTGTTTCGGGTGGTGAGAGGAAGAGGGATAGTATTGGGCAGGAGATTTTGATAAACCCTAGTTTGCTTTTCCTTGACGAGCCGACATCTGGGCTCGATTCAACTACGGCTCAGAGAATCGTTTCGGTGCTGTGGGAGTTGACTAAGGGAGGGAGAACAGTCGTGATGTATACATCAGCCTTCGAGTAGATTGTTCTATATGTTTGATAAGCTTTTGCTTCTGTCTGAAGGCAATCCTTTGTACTATATGGGCTTGGGTCTAGCGTCATGGAGTACTTTGCAAGCGTTGGATATTCCCCATCCATGGCCATGAATCCTTCTGACTTTCTCCTGGGTATCGCAAATGGTACGCACTTGTCATTGATCGAGGTTTATTAAGATGACTTTTAATATGGCTAATTAAATCTTTTTGTTACCCGCAAATGGATTGATGTAGGCATGGCATCTGACGAGTCCAAGAGCCAAGAAAACATTAAAGCGGCTTTGCTTACTGCCTACAAGATGAATCTCGCGGACAGTTTGCACAGTGAGATCCAAGAAAACTGTAATTATAGCTTCCAGTCTTCGGAAGATCTTGAAGGGAATAAGAACTTTGTGGAATGGCCGACGACATGGTGGCAGCAGTTTGCTGTTCTGTTGAAGCGAGGTCTCAAAGAGAGGCGGCATGAATCTTTCTCCGGTCTCAAGGTTGGTCAGATCCTCGTCGTAGCTTTGCTTTCTGGTCTCCTCTGGTGGAAATCCGACATCTCTCACTTGCAAGATCAGGCAAACTCTCCTCTTCTCTCTCCAACACAGTTCTTATCTCAGAGCTTCATGTCCTAACCAAGATTTTGTAGTTCTGTCCTCGTGTTTAATTGTTTCAACAGATGGGGATCTTGTTCTTCTACGCCAGCTTCTGGGGATTCCTCCCTCTCTTCCAAGCAATCTTCACATTCCCTCAAGAAAGAAGAATGTTCGAGAAAGAACGTTCCTCGGGAATGTACAGGCTCTCCTCTTACTTCATGTCAAGAGTCGTAGCAGATCTTCCCATGGAGCTTGTCCTCCCCGCCGTTTTCGTCATCATAACGTATTGGATGGCCGGTCTAAACCATAACCCCGCCGTATTCTTCATCACTCTCCTCGGCACACTCTTCAACGTCCTAGTGTCCGGTGGCCTAGGCCTAGCCATTGGTGCATTGATCATGGACCTGAAATCGGCTACAACACTTGCATCGGTCATAACGCTCATGTTCTTGCTGACAGGCGGGTTCTACGTTCAGCATGTTCCACCTTTCATATCGTGGGTCAGGTACATTTCGATCACTACATACGCGTATAAGCTACTGGTAGTGGCACAGTACAAGGCCGACGAGACGTATTCATGCGGAGAAGGTGGCAGATCTGTGTGTTATGTCGGAGATTTTGCGGCTATAAAGAACATAGGGCTTGATGGCGAATCAACGTCTGCACTGGCTTTGTTTGCCATGCTTGTCGGTTACAGGCTTGTCGCTTATGTTGCCTTGACGAGGGTTGGAAAGGTCAAGCAACGATGATTTTTTTTTTTTTGGCAAAATAATTCGAGACCTCGAATCCGATGAATGTTCCAGGCTCGCGAATCCTTTTATAGGATCAAATGCCATTAATGAAAGTTATACGTTTGGATAATGACTACTTTAGACGTCTGAAGTTCAATTCAATGGATCATGGGCTTCCGAGAAACGTTTGGTAATGTTTTGCATGTAATATTTGATATTTTGGGTTCCCTCTCGAACATTGTTAATGAACTGGTCGGTCCATTGATGGAGTCGAAATCTTAAATAATTATGTGTGTAACTGTGGGACATGTTCTCTGTATTTAACAGTTCGAATCCAATATCATGTTTGCTCACTAATTGGTCTCGTGACCCAAACCCTAAATACTTACCGATCTTAACACGCAATAGAACTGTGTATATATTAGCAAGGAAAGGCATCTAGAAATATGTACAAATCGGATTCTATACATCCATTACTACACGGAAACGTTATATATATATATATTAACATATATTATACTTTTAGTCATTATCAATTTTGATTAGAAAATCTAGTGTTTTCTCAAAGGGTAATTAAAACACATAAAAATTTATAAATTTGGAAAATGGTGAAAAACTAATTGTTAACATTTTTCACTTGATAAATTTATTACTAAACTTACAAAATATGTCATTATAATTCTTAGATTTATAAAACGAATCATTGTACATTGTACGTAACATACGGAAGAAATAAAGTATTATCTCACAATTTAATGTCGTTTAATTACATGTATTATCACATTTAATGAGAATATTTTATAATTAGATTCGGTTAACGTATATATATATTAATAAATTAAAATATCTCTTTTATTAGATTATCCAGATTTAAAGATATGGTGTTGTGTTGCTGTTAGCCTGTTATTAAATGGAAAAAACAGTAAAAAGAGACCCCCCCCCCCCCCCG